TAAATATTACATGGTACAAATTCCATAGTTTGCAGGGGTGGGGGAGTAGGAACACTTGTCATGAAACCCAAAATGCTGAGACCTTAACAAGATGGCATGTCCCATACAGCTCCATGTCTCTGTTGCAACACAATCATTACAAGCACGGAGAGAGGTCCAGTTTTATTCCTTACGCTGGAAAACTATGCTTTTTCATGAGAATGTTTCAAGGCAACATTGGGCACCCTACAATAGTTTTGCAGTTAGCAGTGGGCAGATAGACAAATGTGAACAGTGAGCTATATTTTTTTGGCACAGATGGAAGTAACATATAATATCCTTTTGTCTTTTTACTCTTTTAAGGTAAAGAACATCGAGATGTGGAGAAGGCAAAGCTGATGACCATGCCAGACAAGATGAGGCAGACCATAAGAGATGAGAGCATGGAGAAGAAGCAGATGATTTCCTGAATTGGTGGGGACTTTCATCTGAGCTTTTCCTTATGGCCTGGAGGACAACTGACTTTCATGTGGAAACTTTTTCCTTCCATCCATGTTATACAAACTGCCAAAGACATTGCTAATCCCTGCTGAAAGAAATAAATGGAAATTGACTCACGCGCTGCCCTATCTTCTAAGGCAGCGTTTTTTCAACCACTGTGCCGCGGCACAACTAGTGTGCCGTGAGATATTGTCTGGTGTGCCGTGGGAAAAATTGCAATTTCATCCGTAACATGTGGCCTCGGCTCACAAATAGACCAATCATTAGAACAGCAATGGGCAAAGTACGGCCCCGCGGGCCGTATACGGCCCGGCGGACCTTTTAACTATCCGGCCCGCGGAGCGTGATACTGTCAGGATGATCTGTCCCCCTCGACGTATCTGCGCATGTGCCGGAGATCGCCGATCGGCTGCTAATGCCTGAAACTGGCACATGCGCAGATACGTCGAGGGGGACAGATCCTCATAGGAGACAGATTTTCATGCTACACCGGAACGGCGAGAGGAACGCGCGGAGCAAAGGTAAGTGAATTGACACAGGGGGGGCTTGGGGACTTAATATGGGGGATGAATTAATATGGGGGATGAATTACTATGGGGATGAATTACTATATGGGGGATGAATTTACTATGGGGGATGAATTACTATATGGGGGATGAATTACTATGGGGGATGAATTACTATAATGGGGGATGAATTACTATAGGGGGGATGAATTTACTATAGGGGGGATATGAATTACTATATGGGGGGATGAATTACTATGGGGGATGAATTACTAAATGGGGGATTAATTACTATAGGGGGGGTGAATTACTATAATGGGGGATTAATTACTATAGGGGGGGATGAATTATATGACTATAATGGGGGATGAATTACTATATGGGGGATGAATTACTATAGGGGGATGAATTACTATATGGGGGGTGAATTACTATGGGGGATGAATTACTATGGGGGATGAATTACTATATGGGGATGATGAATTACTATGGGGGATTAATTTACTATATGGGGGATGAATTACTATGGGGGAATTACGATTACTTACTATGGGGGATGAATTACTATATGGGGGATGAATTACTATATGGGGGATGAATTACTATATGGGGATTAATTACTATGGGGGATGAATTACTATATGGGGATTGAAATTACTATGGGGGATGAATTACTATGGGGGATGAATTACTATATGGGGGATGAATTACTATATGGGGGATTAAATACTATGGGGGGATGAATTACTATATGGGGGATGAATTACTATATGGGGGATGAATTACTATATGGGGGATGAATTACTATATGGGGGATTAATTACTATGCTTACTATGGGGGAATATTACTATACTTACTATGGATGACACATACACATCATTCATCTACTCTTGGTCCGGCCCCCCGGGTCCAATTATAAAATACTTTATTATTCATAATAAAGTAATTATAAAATAATTTCTTTGTGTTTGATTCCTATTCAAGAGAATTACTTTATATATAGTCAATATAGGCACAGAGGTAAATTTTTTTAACATTTTCTAATGGTGGTGTGCCTCGTGATTTTTTTCATGAAAAAAGTGTGCCTTTGCACAAAAAAGGTTGAAAAACACTGTTCTAAGGAGATGGAAGTCGCTGCTAACACCTCGCTTGTGTGACACCTCACAAGAAATCTGAATAAATGAACATGTGGTGTAGGGCAGACCTTCAAAATATATTCTGTAACAGGCAATAAAATTCCATTGCTGCAGAATTGCAGCATGTGCGACTGATTAAATCACTACTCACATCCCTATATGTGCATGAATAAATAAAAACGTCCCTCCAATGATCTGGATCAGTGCAAAAAAAATCAAATATACCACATAAACTAGTGAGACATAAAGAAAAACATAAATGCCTACTGATATCTATGTCCTCTTCAATGATAACTGTTGGGACCACCACCTAGCTGTGAGTACATCCACCCCCATGCTCATCGAATATTACTTAACAGTGAGCAAATGGAAATAATAAGTGTACTAAATTAATCCATTGATAAATATGTTATTAACCCCCCTGGCGGTATTCCAGAGTGTAGCTCGGGGTAAAGTTTCAGTACCAAAAGAGGAAACCCCGAGCTACACTCGGGAATACACTGCAGCATTGTTTCTGGGATTCACTGTTTCACTTACCTTGTCCTGCGCTCCCCAGCGATGTCCCCGCTGCAGCGTCCCGGCCATCTCCTCCGGCCGATGCCGGCATCTGTCTTCCGGGTTCCGTTCCCTGCGACGTCGGGACGTTACGGGGGACGGAACTGGCGGGAAATTTAAAAAAAATGACAAAAAATGACATTCACTAAATACACTAAAATCACATAGTATAACATTCCTGTATCAAACCATTTCACATACATTTTGTCCCGAGTGCTTTGTCCGGCGCCCTGCCTGCATTTTTTAACTGTTCTTTCTGCCTGGAAACTGAGAAACGTCCATGGCGTCCAAAAAGCGTCCCTTTAGGTCAGACGCGGTTTTAGACCGGCTAGAGAACAGCGATAGTAAATCAGAACCACTTGCAGAATTGAGTGATAATGATTCGTGGGGGAAATTCCCTCATCAGACACTGAAAACGATTCTGCGACTGAGCTCAGCGATGTGCGAACTTGGCGCTATATTTCACATTTCAGTGTTTTTGGTTTGATTATATTATTGAATTACATTTTTATTATTATTATTTTTATGATTATTTATTATATTATAATTTAGGATTTCACGTTTCAAATTTTTTCCTACCCGGGATGTTTACTAGACTCTTGTTCGGACAGATTTCAGTGAGTTATTCCTAAAAATTACAGCCGACAATAAAAAAAACGACATATTTCCATGCAAAAAAAATGTACCGCTTTGAGCACAGAAATATGGACATAATCAGACTGCTGGGGAGGTTAAATCAAGTCCATGTGTGAAAAAAAGTGCATATATCTTCACTTGTTGGTGAAGCAAGAGAGGAGGTTATAGAGGCACCTCTAAGTGCAGAATGAAAAAAAAAGTATTTATTAAGACTAAGCACATAATTGTAAGGGGGCAGCTCACATTTTTTGTAGACAGATACAGGCATAGATCAACGTCCTGTGGAGCAACAAGGCTGTGCCCAAGGAAGAGAAGTCTTCATGGATACCGCTGTGCTGCTGGTGACACCGCTCTGCTGGGTCTGGAAGCTGGCTGTGTGTGTAGAAGGATCTATAAGAGAGGGCTGGAGCGCTCTTTGAGTGTGGCGTCTAGCGCGATGACGTCACTGGACGAGCTGTGACCCATTTTCGAGCATGCGCATTGGCGATGGCCGATCAGTGTGTGCTCCTTTCCGAGGTTCGGTTGCTGGTGGGTGGCAATCCAGTGACTTAGCTTGCGTGCCCACCGAGAGGGCTCATGTCATAGGTTCGCCATCGCTGCCTTAGTGATGAAGTATCAAGTTTCTGTTTAGTAAAAGCACATTAATACACTACAGAGGATTTCTAGGCTTCCTTGCTTTATTGAAAAGTGACCTTAAAATGGTTGTAAAGACTCAAAGTTTTTCCTTTGTGCATTCTATGCATGAAGGTAAAAAAACCTTCTGCGTGCAGCAGTGTCTTCAGCCCCCCCAATACTTACCTAAGCCCCATCAAGATCCTCGGTTGTCCCGGGTCTCTGTCTTCTCATTGGCTGCTGCTGTCAATCACAGCCGGTCAGCCAATGAAGAGAGGAGGTGGGGCCAAGCCAAGACTCCATAAGTGAGTGGACACATGGAGCAGTGGGTGCCCCTATAGCAAGCTGCTTGCAGTAGGGGCACCCAACAGATTGGAAGAGGCCAGGAGAGCCTACGGGGGACCCGAGAAGAGGAGGATCCAGACTGATCTGTGCAAAAGCACTGCACACAGCAGGTAAGTAAAAAAATGAAAGTGTTACTAAACCCACACCAGTACAATCAGTCTGTAGATGCAGTAAAGCATGCTTGTTATACTCACTGTTGAACCAAAGGGGTTAATCCTCCGCATTGTATAAAAAGGCTGTTTGATCCTGTCTTCTCTGCCCCTCCTCTTGTTCAAATGTCCACCTGATAAGACAGACTGAACCCGTAGCCACATGCGCATGCTCAGTTTGATGTGTATTGCTAGAGAGGGTTTTTTTTTTCTTTAGCTGAGTGCATGTGATCGGCACAGGGCCAATCAGCTCTGTCCAGACAGAGGGTCAGGGGTTCTGCATCCTCCTAGAGCAGAAAGAAAAAATCCTCCTATAAGCTTTAACTAGTGCTCTACTGAAGTCACAAGACTGCTATATACTGCTGAAGAGAAAAGGTATTTAGCTGTTTATATTTATTAAAATAATTGCATTTCCATGTTCTGTGTACTGTGGGAGACCAGATATAGTGAATGCAGGGTCCAGGGAGACCAGATATAGTGAATGCATGGTCCGGGGAGACCGGATATAGTGAATGCAGGGTCCGGGGAGACCGGATATAGTGAATGCAGGGTCCAGGGAGACCGGATATAGTGAATGCAGGGTCCGGGGAGACCGGATATAGTGAATGCGGGGTCCGGGGAGACCAGATATAGTGAATGCAGGGTCCGGGGAGACCGGATATAGTGAATGCAGGGTCCGGGGTGACCGGATATAGTGAATGCAGGGTCCGGGGAGACCGGATATAGTGAATGCAGGGTCCAGGGAGACCGGATATAGTGAATGCAGGGTCCGGGGAGACCGGATATAGTGAATGCGGGGTCCGGGGAGACCGGATATAGTGAATGCAGGGTCCGGGGAGAGCGGATATAGTGAATGCGGGGTCCGGGGAGACCGGATATAGTGAATGCAGGGTCCGGGGAGAGCGGATATAGTGAATGCGGGGATCTGGGGAGACCGGATATAGTGAATGCAGGGTCCGTGGAGACCGGATATAGTGAATGCAGGGTCCGGGGTTAAGTAACACGTTAATTTTTAGTATCAGTTTTAATAGTCACCAATCAAAACAGGGAGGAAACATTTTCTCAGGCTCCTCCCCTCAGTGATCAGTCTGCGACATTGTAACTTTGTAGCAAGACACAAGGTGAGAGGCTGGAGCAAGGGCTGATCTGTGGGAGTGATAGCTCTGAGGTCTGAGGAAGGGGTCCAGGTTCCCTTGTGTTCCTTCCTTCTCTTTTTCTTTCTTTCTTTCTTTCTTTCTTTCATTCCTTCTTGTCTTTCCCTATCACCAAAGCCCCCCCTGGTGGGGCTCCTACAAAATTTTTTTAAAAAAATAATAAAATATAAAATTGTAAAAAATAAAATAAAAACCTACTGACACTAGTGGCAGAACTACCAGGGTCACAAAGGTCATTCTTGTGACTGGGCCCTGGCATTCCACCATCGAGCTCCGAAGAAAGGGTCCCCAGGCTTGGGGCTGCTCAGTCTAAAATGCCCGGGCCTATTTTTTGGTCCAGTTTTTGTCCCAGTCCAGGCCTGTTGACTGATGAAATTTTCAGGGAGAAACCCGTCCATCTATGACCAACAAGGGACACGCTAGAGCCAGCTGTGAGTGGGAGCTGATTATCCCATCATTATTCTTTTAGACTGTGGCATGGAAAATAGTTAAAAAAAGAACATGCAAAATCTAAGCAGATCTATCTATCCATCTCATCTAACCATCTCATCTGTCCATCCATCCATCTCATCTGTCCATCCATCTCTTCTGTCCATCCATCTCATCTGTCCATCCATCCATCTCATCTGTCCATCCATCTCATCTGTCCATCCATCTCATCTGTCCATCTCATCTGTCTATCCATGTCATCTGTCCGTCTATCCATCTCATCTGTCCATCCATCCATCTCATCTGTCCATCCATCTCATCTGTCCATCCATCTCATCTGTCCGTCCATCCATCTCATCTGTCTATCCATCTCATCCGTCTATCCATCTCATCTGTCCATCTATCCATCTCATCTGCCCATCTATCCATCTCATCTGTACGTCCATCCATCTCATCTGTCCATCCATCTCATCTGTCTATCCATCTCATCTGTCTATCCATCCATCTTATCTGTCCATCCATCTCATCTGTCCGTCCATCCATCTCATCTGTGTATCCATCTCATCCGTCTATCCATCTCATCTGTCCGTCCATCCATCTCATCTGTGTATCCATCTCATCCGTCTATCCATCTCATCTGTCCATCCATCTCATCTGTCCATCCATCTCATCTGTCCGTCCATCCATCTCATCTGTGTATCCATCTCATCTGTCCATCCATCCATCTCATCTGTCCATCCATCTCATCTGTCCATCCATCTCATCTGTCCGTCCATCCATCTCATCTGTGTATCCATCTCATCTGTCCATCCATCTCATCTGTCCATCCATCCATCCATCTCATCTGTCTATCCATCTCATCTGTCCATCCATCCATCTCATCTGTCCATCTCATCTATCCATCTCATCTGTCCATCCATCCATCTCATCTGTCCATCTCATCTATCCATCTCATCTATCCATCTCATCTGTCTATCCATCCATCTCATCTGTCCATCCATCTCATCTGTCCATCCATCTCATCTGTCCATCTATCCATCTCATCTGTCCATCTATCCATCTCATCTGTCCATTCATCCTTCTAATCTGTCCATCCATCTCATCTGTTCATCCATCTAATCTGTCCATCTATCCATCTCATCCGTCTATCCATCCCATCTGTCCATCTATCTGTCTCATCTGTCCCATCTCTATGCCGATGACACACAAAATCTATCGCTCAACCCCCCACTTCACCCCCTCAGTCTCCGCCCGAATCACACACCTACTGAGCGACATATCAGACTGGATGTCGCTCCACTTCCTTAAACTGAACCTCTCCAAAACCGAGTTTCTTGTCTCCCCCCCAGCCCGGACCCCCCCCCCCCCCACTGACTTCTCCATCACATCCAACAACGCCACCATCAAACCCGCCCCGCAGGCCAGAGTACTTGGTGTCATTCTGGACTTACAACCTATCCTTCCAGCCCCAAGTCCAATCTTTAACAAACTCGTGCCGCCTCCACCTCCGCAACATCGCCAAAATCCGCACGTTCCTAACCCCAGAAACCACTAAACAGCTCATCCACTCCCTCATCATATCACGACTCGACTACTGCAACTCCCTCCTCACTGGCCTGCCTCGCCGCTGGCTATCCCCGCTTCAGTCCATCCTGAATACGGCTGCCAGACTCATTCACCTTTCCAACCGCTCCGTCTCCGCCACCCCCCTCTGCCAATCCCTCCACTGGCCTCCACTCAGTGTCCTCCACCCCCCTCTGCCAATCCCTCCACTGGCTTCTGATTGCACAACGGATCAAATTCAAAATCCTAACCCTGACGTACAAAGCCGTCCACCATACTGCCCCCGAACTACATCACTGACCTAATATCCAAGTACCACCCAACACGCACACTCCGCTCCTCACAAGACCTCCTTCTCTCTAGCTCCCTGGTCTCCTCCTCCCATGCCCGCCTCCAGGACTTCTCCAGGGTGTCACCCATCCTCTGGAACTCCCTGCCCCAACCCATCAGATTATCACCTACTCTCCTCTCCTTTAGGCGCACCCTGAAAACCCATCTCTTCAGGGAAGCCTACCCCACCCCCTGCTAACCTGCCGACCTCCTCCACTCTTCTTACCACTCCATCCCCCACAGCTATCTCCTCCTGTGCCACCATCCCCTCCCTCCTAGATTGTAAGCTCCAAAGAGCAGGGCCCTCGATCCCCTCATGTTTTGCATTGTATTGGTATTCTGTCACATGTTCTGTCCCCCTTTGTAATGTACAGCGCTGAGCGAACTATTGGCGCTTTATAAATACTGTATAATAATAATACGTCTATCTATCCATCTATCCGTCTATCCGTCTCATCTTGTCTCATCTCCTCTGTCTCGTCTCCTCTGTCTTGCCTGTCTCGTCTCGCCTGTCTATCTAATCTATATCTCATTTATCTCAGCATCTAAAATTCTGCAGACATTTAGACATTTCTAATGCTGAGAAACCTTTATCATTTCCCAGCTTCAGTGTCTAGTTTCGCTTTCCGAGAACTCTACACTAGTTTTGAGGAAGGTGAAACTTGGCACTGAGTATCATGAGTAAACATTTCACACCTCGGGGGTTTTTCCAAATGACTAACTAAAGATTACAATAAATAAATGCATAATATAATGTTCCAGCATGGGGATCTGGGGAAGGAATAGGAACTGACCAAGCTGAGAGAAGATTGTAATGTAGATGAAGAGCGCTCTCCCTAATTAAAAAAGCCGAATTCCAGGTTCAAAAACATTTCATTTAAATATATTTCTCAATAGCTACAGAGATATAAATTCTTTTTTTTTTTTAATGCACCAAACCCATTTGCAAGCCCAGATATTACCTTGTAAAAGTAGCCATGACACAATCAACCACAAACAAATATTTATACCCAGCTGCTGCTATAAAAGTGTCCTCTATGATGGTGAAGGCGATATTATTAATAAGGAAAAATAGCAGCAACAATTACCTCTAAAGTGCACTGTAAGGAGCCGCTGGTGAAACTGACACTTCCCGGATGAATGCACTCACAGCCAGGCACACAGCATTTTCTTCACTCTCCCACTGGCTCGAAGGAACAGTCTAGGGGTGTCTTTTTTTGGATTTTAATGGACTGAACTGTACATTTGGAGGAATTTATAAGTATAGTCCCCTCTCAGTACAGACCCCCCCCATTATAGACCCCCCTTTCCACTAATTATAGAGCCCCCCTTCCTCAGTACAGACCCCCTCTCTCAATACAGACCCCTCTCCACTAAGTATAGACCCCCCTCCCTCAATACAGACCCCCCCTCCAATAAATATAGACCCCCCTCACTCAATACAGACCCCCTTCAATAAATATAGACCCCCTTCCCTCAATACAGACCCCCTCCAATAAAAAATAGACCCCCCTCCCTCAATACAGACCCCCCTCCAATAAATATAGACCCCCCCTCCCTCAATACAGACTCCCTCCAATAAATATAAACCCCTCTCCCTCAATACAGACCCCCCTCCAAAAAATATAGACCCTCCTCCCTCAATACAGACCCCCCTCCAAAAAATATAGACCCTCCTCCCTCAATACAGACCCCCTCCAATAAATATAGACCCCGTCTCTCCCTCAATACAGACCCCCTCCAATAAATATAGACCCCCCTCCCTCAATACAGACCCCCTCCAATAAGTATAGACCCCTCGCCCTCAATACAGACCCCCCTCCAATAAATATAGACCCCCCTCCCTCAGCATAGACCCCCCACTTTCAGTACAGACCTCCCCTCTCCACTAGGTATAGACCCCATTCCCTCAGTAAAACCTCCCTTGCACTACCTACAGACCCCCCTCCCTCAGTATAGTCCCCCCTCCACTATGTACAGACCCCCCTCCCTCAGCATAGACCCCCTCCATCAGTACAAACCCCCTGCACCAAGTATAGTCCCCCATACGTGCAGACCCCCCTCCCTCAGTACAGACCCCCCTCCCTCAGTATAGATCCCACTCCCTCAGTACAGACCCCCTCCCTCGGTATAGACCCCCCCTCCCTCGGTATAGACCCCCCTTCCTCGGTAT